GGTTACAATAAAAGCCATTTTTATCGAAACCTTTGTGCTTTTCGATGCACTGAACTTTTGACAGTAACTTTCAAATATTATGCACACTTTAAAACAAGAATAGGAGTTCTTGAAATTTTTTCCTTTAAGATCTTAAAAAATCAGCCAATAGCTGTTCAGTAGCTAGTAAATTCGTTAAGGAAGCGATTTGGAATGTCAGAGTCGAGGGACTATATATAACAGACTGATTTGTATTGAATTGATTAGCATTTTTTACCCAGAAGGAAGCATTTGGCAAATTTGGTGCCGCAATCAAAAATGTCAGAAATTAAATTTCACACATTTTATTTAGTGGTATCAACTTTGTATGATATTTTCGCACTAAGTAATAATTTTCTTGCAGATAATCGTCAAAGTAAATCGTCTAAGGATAGATATCTTGGGCTATCCAATCCTGTGTTTAGCTCAATATCGAATTTTTGACGAAAAAATCTACATTTATGATGGAAGGAAAGGGAAGGGAGGAGGCTCTTAAACCCAAATTTTCAAAATAGATTTTGTTCTGCTCATTCTTTGCTTTTTGTCATGTATGGTGTTCGATACAGCACGAAGATATCTTACGAGGGAACCTTGCCAGGTGTCAAACTCCGTTTTTAATGATCTTCTGCCAGTTGATAGGGGAAAGTGTTCTAGTTAAAACCCTTGTTATGCCATGCACCAGAGTCGTGCCATAAGCGAGAAGATCATAGTTAAGGTTATTGCATCAGCCTTAGTCAACAAGATAGGACAGTTCTAGGATAGTGCAAGAACCTAGAATATGACGTGACGTCACAGTATTGTATAATCAGGACATCAGACTTCATTTTTTAAGAGTTAAGTGCAACGGCTTAGTATATATATATGTGCGTTTTCTGTGTAATAGTGTGTGCTATCTTTGTATAAAGTTTTCTCAAATAAACGTTAGGTGACAAAGATATAGTTTATCCGAGAACCTACAACCCTAAAAGGATTTGTGTCAAGAGTAAAGATATAATCCATACCTTTTCTTCCCTCAAAAAAGAAAAGCAATATCTTTTCTTTTGCAAGAAAAAGACTTTTCTTAAAAGGTGTATAGAAAAGTATTTTTCTTAAAAAAAGAAAAGATATCGATTTTCTTTCTTTTAAAAAAGAAAAGATACCACTTTCCTTTCTCTTAGGAAAGAACGGATATGCATTGCATTATATATTTATTCTTTTTTGTCGTAAATAAAAAGAAAAACTTTTCTTGTATTAATAAAAAAAAGAGGTAGGAAAGAGAAAGTGACACCTCTAGTTTCAGCCTCTCTGGAAAATAATCAGTTGAATTTTCACTGTTTTCAAGGAAAACCATGTTTTCCCAATAACTCATTTTTCTTTTGGTCCTGTTAATATTTCCTAATGGCAAACTATCGTCTCTCTCCTCACTCTCTATGATTTATTTAATTTGTTTGTTTCGATGATGTAATTGATTCTCTTTGTGAATCACAGTTATCCCATCATTGTAATGGTTTGGTACGATTGTTGGCCGATCTTTTTTGTATCTGGTTTCCCAGCGAAACAAAAAACATTCATAACTTTTGAAAAAAGTACCGTGAAAACGAATCCTTTTAGAGTTTTAACTAGAACATTCTCCTCTGTCAACTGGCATAAGATCATTGAAAACGGAGCTGGCCACCCGAGAAGGCTCCTTCGTTAGCTATTTTTCATTTTTTTAAGATTTAATTTCTCTTTCATTTTGTACACGTAGATTTTATCTTCATTCATCTAGAAATGGATCATGGAAATGGATCATGGAAATGGAATTGAATGTTTGCCATCAGAATTATTCTACGAATGCTTCGATTATTTGGACCCTCCAGATATTTATCGTGCATTCTATAATCTCAATTTGCGATTAAACACGATTATCGACGGTGCAATATTTCCGCATTTAAATTTAACGAAACTAAATAAAGGAAATCAGATTCAAAATTTAACAAAGTCTATTTCAGCACATCACGTTCTGTCTTTGAATATAGCTGCTGGAAATGTTGTAGTGCTTGTAAATACATGTGTTTTAAATAAATTTAGCCAGTTACAAGCGTTATCAATATCGAGTGTATCTAATTCAGTATCATTCAAATGTCTGATTGAACAATTACCAAAATTAGGACAATTGAAATCGTTGGAAATCGATCGTTGCGATTTTGGAACCACTCCTATGAGAGCAGAATCATTAAAAATTATTTTCAGTTTATCGACATTAAAACATTTGTCATTGTTGGATGACTATCATTTTCTTTTGGATGATGATGATCCGTTTTCAGGCTGCGTACACCTTGAAACATTAACAATTAGTCTGATATGTTTTTCTAGTGTTTATAGGTGAGCTTAGCTTCTGATACTACATAACAACATTATCCAGTCTCTCGCACAAGAGATATGGCCATTTTTTACTAACGTTTGATAGAAAAGTGATAGATATGTGCGGTTTTTGCCATTAAATAGACTAGGATGGGGAATATTTTTCATAAGAAAAGCGTTTGTTCCTAAATAAATTCTCTACGGGATCGATGGAAAACTTCTTTATAATAGCAAAATTTTAAATTACCATATAAAAATTCTTTCACAAAATAAAGGATAGACTATATTTTGATGTGTGACTCGCGTTTTAAAGAAAAACACTTTAAACTATTTGCACGCGTAAATGACTCGTTATATGGTAATTTAAAATGTTGCTACTATAAACAAGTTTTCAACGATCCTGTAGAGAATCTATTTAGGAACAAACGTTTTCCGTATGAAAAAATACTCCACATCCTAGTCTATTGATTGGTGAAAACTGCATGTATCTATCATTTTTCTATCAAACGTTATTGAGAAACTGGCAATGTATCTCGCATCATGAAATGGATAGTAGTCTAATCAGCGAATGACGATCTCTTTCTCAATCTAATAATGTTTTCCTGTGTAGAACAAGTTGATAAATACGATAGTCTATTCTAGAATAATCCAAGAACAACTACCAAATCTGAAAAAACTGGCGATTGTTAAACCGTTATGTCACAGCCTAATCGACAACAAAGAAGAAAATCACCCGAAGAAAGTTTATCTCCATTATTGTTTAGTCAGCCTCAACTGTCACGGATTTAATCCTTCATTCGATGTAATAGAATATTTATTACAATGCTTTATTAAGTTAGAATCATTGACATTAAACATTCATCATGATAAGTATTATAATGATCGAGGATGGTAAGAGTTGTTTGATACGTACGGTTTAAACAAATTTCGTTTATTGGTTAATAATACACTTAGAATATCTTCTAAAATTTAGGATAACTGAATTCAACTCGTTATTTTGAAGATATAATATTATATATATTCCGCGAATAACTGTGAAACTAACTGCCATGCTAGCCGCACGTTAATGATATGGACATTCATACATTTTGGCTGTGGTAAAATCAATATTAGACAAGGAGAGATACTCGACTATCTAATTATAAAAAAGTTCTACCACATAGCTCAAGTCGAATGTATGAACAGTTTAGAATATACTTTTTGGTTTAAATTTGAGAGTAAACAAGAACGTTTTTTACTATGACAGTTACAACTCCGATAAATAAAAACACTTAAAAAACTAAATTTGTCAAGTTTTGGGAAGTAAAAAAGCATTGTGCACGCACCAGCTAAACGTTAGAAGTTCACATTTTCTGATGTTTAAATAAAGTTGCAAGAAAACAGTCAGTTCAACTGCTATTCTGTAATCAGATTTTAATGTGTTGGTGTAGCGACTAGCGAAGATGGATGCCCAGTAAAAATGAAAATCCAATATTGGATCCTTCGGAATCCACCTGAAAACCCTCTAGAAACCCAGTCGAAATTTTTTCTTCTTCTATAGTTCGATGTCCTCTGCACTTGGCTATAAACTGACGAAAACCGTTTCGGAATATCTCCTTGCATTACCGAGTTATTCAAAGTGACGGTGTATAGTATCTTATAGTTTGAATCCTATAGTAGTTTGTTACTCTATTATTAGTAACACCGTATCAGTTCTATTTATCAACAAAAAAAGAACTGAAATATTTCACACATGACACTTTCTTTTGAAATAAAATGTATATGTGTATAAACTATTTTGTTATTTGATTTATTTTACTTTTCTTGATACAGATTCTGTATGAATAATGAATGTATAAAGAAAGAGTCAAACGGGTTATTATTTGTAAATACGATAGTTCAATCAGACGAATATTAAATTGACTAAAGCAATAACAACATCTGTCTTTCGCGTAGTATCACTTTTTCATATGTTCTTTCTCAATCTCTAAACAAAATGTAGCTGAAGTTGAACCCAGCCTTTCAGCGAGTAAGAAATTTCTCAAACTGAACCGAACCGATTTCGGTTCGATTCGGTTCGGTTCCAAACCAAACAGATCCCATGCCTGACACAGAATCAATCGCTATTGTTTTTATTTTTTTATTTGAGTAAATAGGATGTTGTTATTGAGTAAAATGGATAATCGAAGGTGACATATAAATTCTGTTGTACATTAAAATATATTTTATAGTGATACTATTAACAAAACAAAACTGTAATGATGGGTGAAAACTAATTTATAATGAACAATTAATTCTAAAAATTTATTCGAAAAGAAAAAAACAAGAGCTAAGTTTTTTTGATTTTTTCAATAACCGTTTGAGCATAACTAATTGTAGCATAATGTTCAAAATTATCCCATTCATCATTCATTTTATCTTCATCTTTGGGTATTATTTCTAAAAAAATAAAAAGCAACTGAAAGTAAAAATATTCAATAAAGATTTTCTAGACTTACTAAAAACTTTTGTTTTTTTTCCTAATTTTATTTTTTGTTGTGGTTTAATTAATTTATTTAGTAAAAACTCACATACATTTACAATAACCATGTAAATTTGAGTTATAATGATTAATGGTGGTGGTGCCATCTTAGGTCGATCATAGTATTCACGTATAAATTGATAGCGTTGATAACACCATAAAAATTTTGTGTTCATTTGTACTTGACCAATTGTATCACTTGAAAAACAATTGTCAGATTAAAATAGCACAAATTCCAAACGGAATAATATTTGGCGAATATATATTGGAATCTACAGTTGTAGTATGTCTGGTCACATACAGATGTATGAAAGGTAAGCCTTTTTTGTATCCTATATTCTACCCTGTGGTGTCAAATTCGTTCTCTCTACTTATCGTATGTGTAACTTATACATGTGCCGATAAAAGATTTTCGGCGTAGCTGAATGAAATTTTTACCATAGGCGGCGGGGGCGCGAGGTTATGAAAATTTCCTCCGCCTTCGGCAACGTCGTGTAAAAATTGGTTATCGGCGGCGAATCTCATAATTCAATTAAAACAACGTTCTCTTTCATTTTTGGCACGTTCCTGGCGCACCAACTGTATCTGTATGTTGCCGTATACGAAAAGATAGAAACGCGCTGCACGCTAGGTGCCTAAGATCAGAACGCACTAACAAAAAATAGTTCAAATTTTCTCCACCCTCGGTGGAGACAAAAGTTTAACGGCATGGCGACGGCGGCGCACATCTCTGTATGTAAGTGCATTATGATACCTTACGCCGGATAATTTCGGAGAAAACTAAAATATTCTTTAAGCGGACGGACCACTCTTGGCTTTTTACATCACTTTGTTGCCCATGTCGACTTACATACATGGTGACACGTTTGAACCTCTCATTTTCTTCTAACTTTTAAAAGTTTACAGAAATTTAAAAGGTTTCACCAAAAAGTTCACTATTCATTAAAAAAAGCGTGTTATGACGATAAGACTGGTCCCGATCGATCCATCAAATCTAAATTCCCTATATGCTGAAATTACTGCGAACTTTGAATGAAGTTTGATCTACTAAAATTCTGTTTTTTCTTGAAATGTCCCTTTTTTAGAAAACTAGTATTTTCTACGAGCCTTGCCACAGATTGTGGCTTAACGAAGCACGATGGAGTAAAATTTTTGCTAACAAAACTTTAATAGTTTTAAAATTATTAAAAAATTTAAAACTCAGTTTACCTAAGGAAGAGCTGTGCAGCAAAAATCTTTATCCATTGTTGTTCGTTGAGTCACAATCTGTGGAAGGTTCTTAAAAAATACTACTGTCCGTCCCAAAACATGAGACCGATAGTTGTTTTCTGAACAACTCAAAGACGCTAAAAGATAGAGACTTGCGCTTGTCGGCAGTCAAAAGAGGACAGCTGAATCTATATTTCCATAAGCAAAAACGTTCCTTGAACAAATTTCTGAGATTGATCTTTCATAGGGTCTCTGAAAAACTAATTTCTAGGTCAAAAATATTACATTGAAAGCAGCCGATTTCTTGTAAAACGGAACGTTCAAATTATTTTTTTCTTATTGAGCGTTGAAAAGTGCATTAAAAAATAATATCAGATCCATTTCGGAGGCAAACGCTAGTCCACAAATAGAATCAGTGTTTTGAGAATGAGCTGAAACCTCCATTTCAGCGACATTATATGCGCCTTGGATCCAGCTTTAAAAAGTACGTCACGCTTTTTTTAAAGTTTTGTTTCATTGCTGAGAAAATTGAGTTTTTCTAAATCAGAGACGAAAAAATCAGAATTCTGCTTGTAGTTCTCAATTTTCTCCATCAGAACTGAACTTTTATGCAATACAAATATCATATTCGGAATCAGGAATGGACTCGAATGATGTGCATTTCGAAAGTTTTACTTGATTTTCATTTTTTGGTGAATTTTTCGACATGAAAATTCGAAAAAATTAATGTAGTCGGATAGGATAGAGATACACATCAGTTAATTCTTTTTTCGATCCCAATTCCTAATATGATATTTGTATTGCACGTTTATAAAATGACCTACTCTTATTTCCCGTTCATTCATCCGGACGTCCATGGTGGTCATCAGCTCGAAAGCTCCGTCCAATGGTGTATGATAAAGGCAAAAACAAATTTTACTCCGTTTTTACTTTACGTGAACCTTTTTTTTTGGATCATTATAGTTTTATAAACTAAAACTATCGAAAAAAAAGTACAAGATGAATTTTGTACGAATAGAGATTCGAAGCTGCAAAACTAAATCCACTGTTCTATGTCTATATCTTGTACAACGATTGAAGTTGTGCAAAACATAGCAAATCTTTCAAGAATTTTCCGATAAATAGTTTTGTTCGAAAAATTCTGATTTTCGTTTCATATTTTCCGAAAAAAGTTTTAAAATTTTTTTTTATAAATTATTATGCTGACTCCGATGTTGGGGAGCGTTAATAAATCACTAAAATGGTTCAAAACTTCGATATCCACCTAATTAGTCAAACATGCACACTGCGCAGAATATAGTGCGGTCCTTGTGCACGCTACTATTTATGAATAGTATAATTAAATTTTATCCTTCATGTCCAGACGCGAATAGAATCTTTAGAAATCAATTCGTAGTGCACTTCAGTTACTGCAAGCAGTTCAGTCGAACTCTTCAAATTGTAGACGAATATGCAAAAAACTAGCTTTAAAACTTTATTCGCAATAAAACACTTTGAAAAACATGACTGTGAATATGGAACTTTTTCTCCTCTTCTGATACTTACGTAAAAACAGCAATAAGTAAGTTTAGTATTAGAATATTAATAAATAACATCTGAAATGCTAATAGAACTTGTGTTGCCTGAGCTTGTGCAACAAGTACTGATGTTTGATTATTATCCAAAATAATATCTAGAGTGAAAATAATGTATAGCTTTAGAAATCGCTTCTCGCATTATTTCCTTACCATTTATTACATCTTTTTCATCTACTACATAGTAAATAAGCCAATAGGCTGGGTATAAAATAGTTCCAAACAATCCTCGAGCAGTAAAATCAATATTATTATACATGAATAACGAACGGGAAGCAACACCATAAGCCATAATTGATATAAAAATAATGGTAATAAATATAAATAAATCTTTTAACTAAAATTAAACAAACTCAAACGCATTTTTTTATATATGATCGTTTGATCTTTTACCATATTTCTCATCATTAATAATTTTGGTCCAAGCGTTTGAAGCGCAGTCGCAAATGTTAAGGATCTTAAATACTATATTTGTAAATCGAATGCCATTAATATCCTTCACAAAACATACAAAAAGAATCGTAGATACAATATACGACTTTCGAAAGTGAACATCTTAACTAAAAAGTATAATGAGGAATTATGGGATATTCACAAGTGTTCAATCATTTTCTTCTAAAACGTACCTGTCTATAGGGGATTTCCGATGCTGATCACGAATCGGATATCCGTTCATCTCTATATGACCTTTTCGAGATGATCTTGGAAAACCAGTGTCCGGAGATCTGTCTTAAAATCTAACGTGAAGAGAATCTGATATAGGTCTGAAAATGTTTTCATACAGGTAAGTAGATATACTTTGCAAGCTATACATATCAAAATTTTCCCATATTAGATTTTAAGATAGATCTCCGAAGACTGGTTTTTCCAGGATCCTCTCAAAAGGTCATATAGGGATGAACGGATATCTGATTCGTGATCAGTATCGGAAATTATCTATAGACAAGTACGTTTTAAGGAAAAAATGATTGAACACTTGTGAACGTTTCCTCGCTAAAAACTATGTTCGACAGGCGAGGATGCGTAGAAACGGAACAGTGAGCGATCTGAATATCTTGTAAGAAAATTTTTTTAAAACTTCTCTGTTTGTTCAAGTAATATGAAATCGAAACTTTTATGAATGATATTGTTTACTATCAATGTCAAATTGGCTGATGCAGAAAAAAACTTAAGATATGTTAGTTGTTTAACTTGCTAGCTGTTTCTCCCAACGAAAAACTTCAGTGAGCAGGCGATTTTATATCGGAGTTTACGATTCATTTCAAAGACAGTGCTTGTAGATATTTTTGAATAATTCAAGCACAAAAGGTGATGCGGAGATGCCCTGTTATAGAGGATTACCACATCTTTGGGCCTTCAAAACCAGATTTTCCACGAGTGACAGTCTTTAAACTAGTTACGAAATGAAAAAAACTAACATCTTCTTTTAGGCTGGAAAACTGTCTGAACTCGTTACGAGTCCAAATGAGTGCTATATTCTAATATAGCATAGGGGAGGCTGTTTTGAATTCGTACGAGTTTAAAAACATTTTACGAGCTCAAATGAGTGTTACATTCTCACATAGCATAGGGGAGGTATGTTCATCAGGACAGGAATGGCGGAGCAGAGGGATGGCATAATGAGAGTGAATGGACATGAACACTACAGCATCAAGTTTTTAAACTCGTGTGAGTTCAAAATGTAATGTAGTTTTTTACTTCATGGTTCTTCTTCACGCTTTTCTTTCGATGGTTTTGGATTGTACGGTTTTTCTTACGGTTTTTTTTCACCGTGTACATATCAAAAGGTGCAGCAAACACTCCTCTTCAAAATGGTAAAAACTCCATCTCTCTATCGCTTCTTGTCCTAGTTATTAAAATATCACCCGAGTTCATTTTATTTTGAAATGATAGAGATGAATCAATCTGTACTCTAGCCAATGTTATGTCGTTCAAATTTCTCAGCTCATTCACAAACTGATACCTTGCTACTGCAAACACCATATTCGATGATGAACCATATCGAAGTGCAATACTTAAACAGAACAGAATATACGGTATAACATAAAATACTGTATCGAATATTGAAATAATCCATGATTTATTTCGTTCCCATCTTTCTTGCATTTTTGTATGATAATCGCACCAGGTCTTAAAAATAAAAACCATTCGCAGACACATATATGGGCCATTTCATGAGTGTGTCAAAGCTCTAACGAATCGAAAGGCCTATATGCGGGACATTCCATCCGATTGTCACATATCTAACCACTGGGATGACACGTATATGCGCCATTTCCTACGAATGTCACGTTCGCAACTGCGAAATAGTCCTTACAAGGGACATTCCATTAATTACGGACATGATATACTCGTGGAATGGTCCATAAAGAGTGTCCCATAATAACTGAAGATAAAAATAAATTGGCAACAATATCATGCAGCGTATCCTCAGTTATGATGCGACATCCTATTTACAGTTACTTACTCTCCTTATATCTTCGAATAACATTGTTGTTATTGTTATAGTAACGTATATTTCCGTCCAATGTGGTAGTGGGTGTTCATTATCAATTCGATCAAAACGATATAACATCATATAACTGAAGGTTAATAATAACCAAATATACGATAACTAAACGCACAAGCAGGCATATATATATGTATAAGAGGTTGTTCAGAATAAATCGGTTACTTAGTATTTGCTCAAATCTTAGTTGGATTTTATCTCCTGCGGTGTATTTTTTAAAAAGATTCGTCGCGAACTCTTGTACAAAAAATATATTCAACATCTTTTCATATATCATAAGAATAAAAGAATATAGATTAAATAATGCAAAGCTTCAAAACTCCATAACTTTGCAACCCAAAAAACAGTTTTTTCAGTTTTAGTACTTTAGTTAGTAATTTAGTAGTAGCGAAACAAAAAAAGAAGGATAACCATTCTATAGCCCTTAAAAAACTTTATCAACCAGGCACATTTAAAGCTCTTTATAATCAAAACCGGTTTTGAAAGAATTCTTTTTCTCTTATCGTTCTTGGATTTGTCTTATCCCAAAGAAAAATAATTCTTCTAAACAGAGAAAGTTCAATAATTGCTACTGATGTCTTTACTTTTGCTATAGGAAAGAGCATCTCCCTTTTTGTCTGCTAAATTGTCTGTGTGTGTTTCCTGTAGTTTCCTGGCAAGAACGTTGTAGTGTATAATATCACAAACAAAAATTACCCAAAACGACAAGTAGAGATAATAATCTGATACGAAAAAAGAGAGAGAAGAAGCTGTTTGAACCTGATTAAGAAAAGTAAAACAACAGAATATAAATAACAAGTTTTCTCGATTGCACCATGATCGATGCCCTATTCGACACACACGGTACTAGCACGGGCGAAGGCTAACTCACTTCCACTGTATGCACTTGTTACTAGTGGCGGCGCCACAGGTGGGCTCAGCCCACCCTAAAATATTTTGAGCCCACCCAGAAAATATTTTTCTGGACTACATTACAAAATTCGGTGAGGCCGAGCCCACTCTGATCAAAATTCAGAGGGTCTGAGCCCACCCTACCCATGTAACAATTTCGGCTCTAAAAAACGCGTTTACGAACGGCGTTTATAAACGCAATCCAAACGCGTTTAAACGGCTTAAAAATGAAACATTTGCACC